GTGTGTGTGTGTGTGTGTGTGTGTGTGTGTGTGTGTGTGTGTGTGTGTGTGTGTGTGTGTGTGTGTGTGTACACACATATATAATGCAGTATACTTACTGTAGAAAACTTTGGTCAGATACAGCAGATTATATACAGAGACAATTGACCTTATATCAGACTAAGAAATACATTGATTAATCAATCTAAAAAGTCAAATCTCAGCACCTAAAAACTTGCACTTTAGACAATGATGAATCTATACAAAAAATGAAAATTGGGGAATCCAATATTGTGGGCAGAACTGGAAATATGACCAGTTTCCTCTCTCTCCCTTTAAAGCCAAAATGTAGTCAGCTAATAACTGAAAAATGCTCGTCTTGGTAGTTTTTCTTCTGTCAGTTTTCAATTGTGTCTGCTGGGAGTTATTACAGATCATTAGGGAAAAGTAGTTTGTTGTGAGGCTCCCTGCATTTAAAGAGAATCACCTTTCCTTACTGCATATGGCTTATGAGTGTCCAGCACAGAGTTAAGGAATTGTTTTTATGACAAAATGAAGAAATCTGTAGATGTTTTGACAAACATACACTGCAGAAACCTGCCAAAAATATATACACCAGAAGAAAACCAAGAGAGGTTACTGTGTGAACAGTCAGGAAATGCGAGTTGTGAGAGACTGGATTGGGATGTAGCCATTTGGCTGGTGGTGCTAGTGTGCTTATTAAAGAGCAGACAGAAAGAATGCTCTGTCTCTGGAGAAGAAGGTGGCAGACACCTGCATTCATTTCAGCAATTTGCGCTTCTGTATGTGGGACATTTGCAATACTCTCACATTGCCCCTTGCTCCCAGGCTGCCACCTTCCCCCGCATTTAGAGATACAGTTATCTAGGTCTGCTGCATTATTCAGTCTGGTATACAATTTTCAAGCAAACAAAAATAAAAAAAACCCCCAAAACCCAGAAAATTAGGCAAGCGTCTTACTCAGTTTAGAATACATATTTGTCTGGATCAAACAGCATTAAGTGCAGCAAGCGATCTGGAGTATGGTCCATAGCCAATTAAATGCAAATGGAAAGAATCACACTATTTTTAATGGAATTTGGATCTGAAACTTGGACCTCAAATTTCAAACCTTGCTCCACTTCTCTGTCCAACTGCTCATTCTGGGACTTTTAAATCTTCTGCATACTTGCTCTACGTGCTTGTTCAGTACGTAAGGTGAGTATTCCATTTCTGTAGCCAGTTTTGAAAACAGAGCTCCTATGCCATCCTTTTCTGCTTGGTTGTGCCTTTCAGAATTATTACACTATTTGTCTGCACTCTTTGCACTACCATAAGGCCTTTACATTTATACCAGCAGAGCTCTTAAAGAACAAAACTAAACCAAGATTCACAGAAATTAGGAAGCAGATACCATAAGCTTCTGTGAAAAATTATATCAAGGGAAACTAGAGTTACACAGAGAGAGGGCTATGTATTTTCATTTAATTTCATGAAATTAATGAGCAATGTATTAAGCACAGGTGGCCAGAAATTCATTCTTGATGCAACTCCAGTACTGTACTTTGAATAGGTTTATTCCAAGGATGAATATGGTACCTTGACTAATAGTAGCAACTGTACAGGTTTGATTAATTCCTTTTGACTTATATAGGTACCAGTGATATCATGGCATATGTTAAGTGCACAGTACCAGGAAAAATGGAAAAAGCCAACAGCAATTTTCCCAGCTTCTAAAATGGGTTCTTATCATTTGTAATCAGAAATTAATAATATAGCACTAACTAATGCTACGCTTATGCTAAGGTTCATGTAATATTGCATCCCCAGCCAGCTGCTGTTTTACCACTTGCAAGCATGACAGCATGTCTTGGCATAAGGAGTCATTCTTCGAGTAAATCATTATGTTCCTCTTTCACTGGTGGGCATTTGCTGCTGCAATATAGGTTAATTGGATGCCCTGCCATCATCTGCTGATACGATTAAGTAGCCAGAGTTTGGCATCGGGCATTGGGTGTTTTCACTAGAACCCCATTCTGTTGTGTGCCCCCTGTGAATGTTTATAAATGATCAATCAACAACTGTGATTATGAGCTGCGCTCACCATGTTGTTATTTACAACAGCACAGCTGTCTATAAAGATAGAAGCAAGTCACCCATTGTGATTCTCCCCATTGGCACTGATAAAGAACTCATCAAAACAGCTTATGTACAACAAATGCCTGTGTATATTTATGACAATGTGTCTTGCGTGCAAAGAGTTAGTATGTGCAAATTTCTTGCCATTTAGGAGAGAGAGATGAACTTCCGTATTTGCCAGCTTTGCACAGTCCACATGAGGACTTCTATAATAAGATATAGGTATTTTTGGTGTGGAGCATGGCAACCAGCATTTATATATAAACTGTACACAAAAAAAGGCAGGAGAAATTTCAGCTAACATCACTGGTACAATCCCATTGTTTTACCAAGAGTGTAAGGACCGTTAAGTATCTATAGAGAATCTTGAGGATTTTTTTCTTCCAAATTTCAAAACTGTTGAGCTGCATCAGCCTACCACTTACAGGGTGCATTTACTCATGTGCTTTACTACAGCTGACTAATTAGCTCCACAGTAGTGTCACTGTCTACATGTGCACCCATTTTAGGGTGCAGTAAATTAACTCCACTGTAGCATAGTACTCTCCAAGTACTATCCTACAGCAGAGTAATTATGCGAGCCAGAATGCACATGCAGAAGGTGACCAGGGCTGGCTGGGGCACAAGGGTGCTACAGTGTGGGGGCTGCCTGCTGGCAAGCCTGGCACTGTAGCTCCTTTGTGTCTCAGCCAGCCCCTCCACAGCACACTGAGCTGGGCAGGAGCAGCCCCAAGCTGGAAGGCTGAGCCCCGCTCCCCCAGACTCTCTGCCAGCCAGGACTGCTCCACCCCAACTCAACATGTTGTAGTCCTGGGTGCATGTATAAATGGGACAAATATTTCTGCATGCCAATTGTACATGGAGATACACATACAGTCAACTACACTGTACTTGGTACATATAACTTAGAATCACAAAGACGAAAATGGACACTGCTGAGATCAGATTGTGTGGTTCCAAGCCATCTAGGTAGTCTAGACATGAAACTTAGACACCTAAAGCCTCACTCTGCCAGCAACCAGCTCAACTGTATGTGGTGCCACCCCAGGGGAGGGTAGACCCCAGTGCGTTAGAAAACAACCAACTCAGATGAAAGAAAGCGATGCTGGCTGCTCTGGGTTGGCTACTACTCAGACAGCCTGAGCCACAGACAATAGTGAAGCACCTCCAGAAAGAAGAAACTTGCGGTCTGAGGCAAGCGAGTCATTGTACAGTCCACAAGGGATCAGCTACAGCCATTTGGAAGGATGTGGTAAAAGACAGAAGCAAAAAGGAAAAGAAACCACTCATCTAAAATAGCAGCCTAGTACAATTTCATCACACAAGGCAGTAGGAGGTCAAAAGATAGGAGCTCTGCATTGGTTCACCTACCTTAGCTAATAGCTGGACATCCTGCCTCCAGCTCTGCGAAGTAGAAACTATATAACAGCCTCACTTCTCAATGCAAGCATCATGTTTAGCAAGGAAAAAAACAACAAAAGGCTGAAGATTTGACCCATGGTGAAGTAGCCTAATGATTCATGGATGAAAGCAAGTGGGGGGATCAAAGAGTACAGTAAATCAAAGTGTACAAGTCTTGAGGACCTGACACCACAGTCTGCATATGGACTTAGGCATTCAGGGTAGGGTCATATGTTCAACTTAACACTTACTAAATGCAGTTAAATCATAAGCAAACCCACAATCCAGCAGTTTAGTGCATATTAAGTGCCTTCTTGGCAATGCAAAGCTGCCCCCTTTCAAGTGAGGATTAATCCCAAGATCATATCAAGGTAATATGCCTGCATACCATACTAACTTTTTTTTAATGTGTCACAGCCTTCCAATGATTTGCAATTGTTGCAAGTACACATACCACTACACCCTCAGATATCACCAAGAGAAATGTGGCATAATACCTCAATAGCCAGATTAGATAGTCTGCACCCCAAATTCCTTTAGAACACAAAGTGAACTTTGCCTTCACAGTAGTATGGGAAAGCCACCCCATCTTATAAAAAGGTGATTATTTTCACTCATTTAACACTTTGTCCACTTTGGCAATTAATTACTTGCCATTCTGTACTGTTTTCAATGGCAGACAGATCAGTGTCACCCACAGATGTGCACAAGCCTCAAATATGTTATTGCCAAATTCTGAACTTTCAGTGACTTGAGCTCAATGTGCTGATCCACAATTAACTGTTATTTTTAGAGCAGTGGGGCTGCAGGAAGTCAGGCAAATTACAAGACACTGTGGCATGTATCATTTGCTAAGAATATGCTTTGCAAATATTTGTTTACCCGTGTTTTTAAAATTCTTAAGGTTTGCAATACAAAAACAAGATAAAGTGAGTTTGTCACATTCCTGCAAAACCCTTGGTCCTTGTTCAGTTGCACCCAGGTCCTTACACCCATGTTCCTAGGACAATATCACCAGTCACTTAAAGCTCAATCCTCTTCCCTCTTCCTCTGCAGCCATGTGACAAGGAAAACATTCAGTTTAGTCAATTTAACTAAGCTACAACTATACTGACTTTATTTTTAAATGGGGTGTTAATACTTGGGAAAAGGTTTGCACTGAATGCCCAAGCAAACAAAATCCTTCACACGGAACAAGAACCCAGGCAATGCCTCATTATTATACATCAACCCTGATGCTATGCATGGGAGAAAAAGGGCTGTTCCTATCAATGTGTTTCTGGGGAGAGGATAGGTCTCCTGAGTGAGTGGGCCCATACTAGCTCTTCTGCCCAACAGCAAGTGAATGTACATCCATTAAAACATTTAATTTATCTTGCAAGGGAATCAACAATTACTGCCAAGTTCAAGGGATGATCTTTTGAGACAAGGGACCCTATCTACTGAGAACTGGACTGGAATTGCAATGCTGCATTCAACTGGACCTCTTGACAGCCACAAGAGGGGAAGAAGTTTTAGTCAGCCTTGTAATGGGATTTGAACCCATAATGTTAAACCACGGTTATACTTACTGACCCTAGCCAAGAGAGCTTCAAGGGACATATCACAGCTCCAGAAAAGGATACTTCAAAATACACTCCTCTGTATCAGCCACAACTACTGGCTAGATCCTGTGCTGGCATAAAGCAGTAAGTCTCCAACTAGTTTGACAATGCTGCACAGTCTGGCATAGAATGCATGACCAAAGGTCTTCTAAAGACCGACAGGATGTTACTAACTACACAACGGAAATTTGTTTTACGGACTAGGATGCAAGGCAACCCATACAGCAGTCTTGCATTCCTAGTGCTAAATAGGCCTCAGCCCTTTCATTTCAGTGAACCATAAAATTCTTGCCCACTCTGACAGACACAGGAACCAAATTAGCTGGCTTTGTGGCACCTAACAATTTAGTAGGCTGGACAATTCTGGAAGCTGTATGTTAACGCTGCACAGCTGACTACTCAATAGGGTTCTCTTGTTCTTAGATCATGTAACAACAGGTATAGAGAAATTAAATATTTAAAGTCACCTACCCTTAAATAATTAAAACTGAGCCAGCCTGTAGCAGTCCCATGCCATACCCACAAGGCTTCTCTCAGTGTTTAAAAGTTTGATGTTTGAATTAGGGAGATTTCCTGGACCTACATGAAGAACTACAAATACCTGCTGGATCTCCTCATCCCTTAATCTTACTGAGGTAGCTAAGCTGAATACTAAGCAGGACATGAGAAAGCACGTGAGCACGCATTTTTGGTTGACACCTGAAATCCGATCAAATATGCCAAGCCATCATAAAAAAAAAAAAACCAGTAGTTTTTTGTATATAAAGAAAGGAGATTTGTTTTATTCTCATTAGCCACAAATTTCTTCATCTCATTAGCATAACCTATGATCAGCTACCTGTAACATTCAATTCCAATCTCCATCAGAAGAAAACAAATCAGAAAGACTTCATCTCTCTTTCCCCTTCATAATGGCTCATAAACACCTGAGGAGGTTTGACCCACAGGTTAAGAGCCACTGCCCCAAACAATAGGCCAGCCACCTGATCTGCTTAAAAAAAGGTGAGAGAGAGAACATTTTTATGACCAAAAGTATAAATTAAGCTGTAGATCAAGGCAATAAGAAAAATTCCAGTAAAACCCCAAGATCACATTGGGTTATAAATACTAGGTGTGTTTGAAGCAGGCAGTATTCAATTCAGATTTATCCCAATTCGGGGGACAGTGATTCGATTTGGCTGGATCCAAATCTGAAGATTCAATTCAGATTTGGAGAATCTGCGATTCGGCCATCGACATAGCTTTGTATGTTTTTTCTACATACGTCGAGGTACCAGACCTGGCTCATGAATGCTGCGATAGTGGGGAGGATGGAACGTCCCATGGGAGCACGGGGAGGAGGGAGTTCTACCTGGTGGCAGACCTGGAAGTGGACTGGAAGTACTTCATCTGCCCCACCATCTCAGTGTTCATAAGCCACGCCTACTATCTCGAGGTGCATAGAAAATAAAAAACAAACCATATAAAAGCTGTGTCTATGGCCTAGTAGTTGAATGTCTCCAAATTGATTGGAGAGAGATTAATGGGTCTCCTGATTTGATTTGGATTCAGGAGATTCGGCCGCTGAATCTCCTCCAAATTGAATCAGCAACCAAAGTTTCGCACAGCCTTAATAAAGACCTCCATATCAAACTGCTGGGTCTTGCTGCTCTCATCTTTTTTAAACATATACATTTGCATGTTTATTCAAACACAGTAGTGTCTACTTGAATACTCCTGCACAACATACAGCACAAAGTCCAGTCCAAAAAACTGTTGAATATCAGTTGTTGGTTTTTTAATGTGCTGGGAACAGAAGATGTCAGCGTACTGCTGGAAATTCTTATGTGTGAAGAACATCATTTGCTTGGTTCAACACTAGCTGGAAGAAACGCTGTACTTACTCAAACATTGACTTTTCTGGCTCCCTCCTAAGAGAGGCTGGGTAGGAATTCTAATGCTTCACCTAGGTGGGTTGCATATTAGAAAAGAAAGAGACACAGTGAAATAAACCGGCAGCTGTGTTCTTTGCTTACAGGTCAGAAAATGTTTAAATTCGCCATGATTGCAAGGTCTGTGGGATTAAGGCTCCGATGCATTCATACAAGCTTTTTCATACTGGATAACCTTTGGGAACAAAATATTAAAAGACAAGGAGGTTCTGAATGATAAGAAATAGACCCCCCAAGATAATAATTAAGTGGCAGAACTTTTTTCCCCCCCAACCAAGCCCTTCTCCAAAGAGCTTTTAAGTTTTTTGGGTTTTTTTAATGCTCCTTAGCAGCAATTGTTTGTATCCATGGAGTTTTATGTACACTTTGCATTTAGCAGGAGATTGCACATCAGTTGCATCAAGTGTTAAAGCAAAAATTGATAAGCTGGTGATCTCAGCTATACACAGCTGAAGTTTAATTGGAAAGTTAACCTGTTAATAGAAACAAGATGCTTGTAAGAGCTGAGTCCTCATGTGTCTTGAGGCTGTTCACAATTCTTTATAGATACATTTAAGATCACTTGGAATTTATTCTGCACATTGTATAGCAATTCTTCTCATAATCAACTGGTATTTAAAACATTTACTGCCTTGTTAAATCTAACAAGTCAGACTTATTAGGATAGTCACTTTCCTTAATAGCAGACTGAGTTTTACAAAATGTGTTCATTGAGGTATAAGCATATAATAGGCAGCTGTTAAAACCTGACTAAATACATTTAGCCGCCAGCAGACATTCTGTTTCAATGGCAGCACTTCCTCTCTGCCAACAGGAAGTGCAGTACTCGACTATGTCAACTGAGCACCCATATGGGAAAAACTGAGGGTATGTACACACATTAGCAGTACCTGATCTATGACTTGCTTCAAGGGAGTTGTTGGGATTGGGGTGCAGGGTTGATGGGCCCAAGGGGGAGGGGCATTGTCCATCAGAGGCTGAGGGAGCTAAAATAGGTGGGGTTGAAGAAACACAGCCTTAGGGGCTGTGCTCTGACTGTACAGATGGTTGTTAGATCAGGCTAACCTATTTTCAATCTAATTCTTTTCACATCCTCAGGTGAATTAAGTTACATTGGGCCAGCCATTTTTTACGTAATCTAAACTACCTTAGCATCTGTACAGACCATCACTTAGATTAATGTAACCCCAGTTAGGTGAACTACAGCGTAACATCTGCATGTACCCTAAGCAACAACAACAAACAGACCTAAAATTCAGATAACTTCTTTTACTCTAAATACCACAAGGACCACTCAGGATCATACTGTCCTTCCTTTGCTCACACTGATAAAGACCTCTCCCGACAAACAGTTTTATTGACAAATCAATAGACCTAATTATGATAAAAAGAGTAATAGTATAAATTATTAGGTGTGTCTGGACTTCATATCAACAACAAGACTTGACTAGAAAGTAAGCTGGGAAAATTAAAAGTCCATCTACATCAGGGATGGGCAATTATTTGGGCTGGAGGGCCACTTAGGAAATTTTGGTGAGCAGCTG